AGTTGGTCAAATGTTAATTCCTTTACTGGAATCTCAAATAATTCAACCGGATCAGGCTCAAATTTCTTTTTCATAGTCAAACAACAGGTGAGGTCATGATACACCACAGGCACAAAATCTTTTGAAAGATGTACATCAAATTCCACAAAGGCTGCACCATGACTAGCAGCATTTCTTAAAGAAGCAATAGTATTTTCTTGAACTTTAGCAAGCTTAGCAGTTGTTGTAGAATTCCCCGCACCTCGATGTCCAACATCCAATGGTGTTCTTGGCTTCCAATACTTGGAAAATGAAGATTTCATGTCACAACTGTATCCCGGTAATGGCTTAATAATTATATAGTCAACTCTTACTTTGCCTATAGTTTGTCTGGAATTTCTGCTCATGATAGGAAGAGTGAGGACTCCAGCACTTTTCCCACTCTCATCAATGGTAGATGATAAGAAGCATGCTGTACCCACATGTCCAGGAAGAGTATCACACTGAACTACATGTTCACCGAGATCTTCCTCCAAAAAATCAAATATTAGTTCCAAATTATCTGGTTCTATTGTCTGTATGCTATATTCTGTCCAACGATCAGGCTATAAGCCACACCCACAATCCGGCTGTGAATGCTTGCACTTGAACTCAGTGGCGCTTATCGAGGATATCTCCAGTGTATTGGACATTTTGTGAAGAACAGTGGGAGATACCCTATCATCATCATCTTCCTCCAGACCTTCTAGTGTCAGCTTCACTCTAAATCTAGATTTTTTAAATTTCTTCTTGATTATAGAGACAGGAGGCTTTTCAGAATAATGCAAACGTAATCTTATTTCAGTCTGACATGTCAGCAATCCCGAATCCAAATTCTCAACACCATTGTGGATTCCAAATTGTCCATCGTCAATAATAATTTCACTTTCTAAAGGGGTTATTGATCGTGGTTGTAGATGAGTCTCCCACTTGTGAACTATGACTTGACATGGACCACCGATAGTCTTTGGTTCTAAAAAGCACCCTTTGAAGTAGCGATACTGAACTGATTCTCCTCTACTGAGTACAATGATTGCTTTCCAAAACACGCTTTCATCTGTCTCATTCTCTGGAAGGAGAGCCACAGCATTTTGAGGATTCCAGTTTCCCAAAGCATCACAGCTTCCACATATAGCAAAAGCTTCTCCTGGAAACAGAGTTCCTCTTATTTCAAAGGTAACCTGAGAAGGTGTCATTCTGATGGATTTATTTGAGGATGTTGTGCTGCCAGGTCCAGTGCCGCGGGCCGAGCTGCCAGGCTCCGGGCGTCCGCGCCTCGCCAGCGCTCCCCAAGGTGGCCCTAGGTGTCGCCTGGCTGCAGAAAGCGGCTGCGCTCAAACCGGTTTCAGCTGCTCCAGACCCTCCGTTCACTATTTCAGTTAGATGTGTCTTAGTTTGGTCTTCTTTGGGTTTATCTTGTTTTGGAATCTCTCTTCTTCCTGGACTTGGGTGTCCTTTCCATTCACCAACCTAGGGAAGTTTCCAGTCATTATTTATTCAAATAGTTTGTAGTCTTTTGCTCCCTCTCCTCTTTCTGGTACCCCTCTGATACAAATGTTGTTACTCTTGATATTATACCAGCGGTCCCTTAAACTATATTTATTTTAAAATTTTTTTTCTGTTTTGTTTGGGTGTTTTCTGCACCTTTACTGCTAATTGCATCCTCTGCCCTTAATTTCTTTTAGAGCAGTCTTTCTTTCATTTATTGTATTCTTTATTTCAGACTGGTTCTTTTTATGGATACTATGTTCCCTTTTATGCTTACTATTTCTTTGTTAAAGTTCTCCCTAAGTTCCTTGAACATCATATATAACCAGTGTTTTTTATATAATATATATTTTTTTTATTGATTTCAGAAAGGAAGTGAGAGGGAGAGAGAGATAGAAACATCAATGATGAGAGAGAATCATTGATCGGCTGCCTCCTGCATGCCAACTACTGGGGATTGAGCCTGCAACCTGGGCATGTGCCCTTGGCCTGAATCAAACCCAGGACCCTTCAGTCTATAGGCCGACACTCTATGCACTGAGCCAAACCGGCTAGGGCTAACCAGGGTTTTGAACTGTGTTTCAGGTAGACTGCTTGCCTCTATTTCATTAGTTCTTTATAAGTACCGCACGCTAACCGATTGCGCTACTGGAGCTCCTATTTCATTAGTTCTCTAGAGTTTTGTCTATTTCTTTCATTTCGGACATGTTTCTTTGTTCCCTCATTTTGTCTATGTTTCTGTGTTTCTGTGCATTAGGTAGGTGTTCTATGTCTCCCAGCCTGGGCAGGGTGGCCTTATGTAGTAGGTGTCCTGTGCAGCCCAGTGGCGCTTTATTCCTGATACCTGAGCTGAGTGCTCCAGGAATGTCCCTTGTGTGGGTTTTGTTTACGCACCTATTGCAGTTGAGCCTGGATTGCTGTTGGCTTATCAGTAGGTTGGATTGATCCTCAGGCTGACTGGCTGGTTGTCAGAATTGGCCATGACCACAGCACATGAGTTGCTGTGCGGGAGCTGACCCCACACTGGGATTTGCCTCCATGGATTCTGGTGTCTGTTGAGACCACTCTTTGGTTGTGCCACTTGTGGAGCTTATTGGATGGTGTTCTGTTGTCTTCTGAAGCCAGCATCAGGTGTGTTGGTTTGGAGCCTCTTGGGAGGGGCTTTGGTGAAGGCCTATGTCAGGGGCTTTCTGTGAATGATTCTGCACTCACAGAAAGTGATCTGTGCTGGACTTAGAAGTATGTGAGAGGGGCCACTGTGCAAACCAAGTCTCATTGCCTCCAGTATTATGCCTGGGCCAGTTCATCATAAGATAAGGCATAGGGTAACCTGAGTCCTGTTGCCACCTGCTGGCTGCCAGTAAGAATCACCTGTTGAAAGGGACTTGGTCTGTATGTGAGTTGGATGAGGCAGGGTGTTGGTGAGTCACCAAGGTGTGGGGAGTTAATTTCACTAGATTTATACAAATTCAGATTTGGTGCCAGTGCTGGTTCTTGGGCTACTCAGGAAAAGGCACAGGGCACCCTGAGGCTAGCCACTACCCACCTGCCATCTACTGACCTTTGAGAATTTATTTATTTATTTAAAAATATATTTTATTGATTTTTTGCAGAGGAAGGGAGAGGGATAGAGAGTTAGAAACATCGATGAGAGGGAAACATCGATCAGCTGCCTCCTGCACACCCCCTACTGGGGATGTGCCCGCAACCAAGGTACATACCTTTGACCGGAATCGAACCTGGGGCCCTTCAGTCTGCAGGCTGATGCTCTATCCACTGAGCCAAACCGGTTAGGGCCCTTTGAGAATTTTTAAGAAAGACTGCAGTGGGGTTTGAGGTTGACTGCCTGCTGCTTAACACATTGCGGCGGATCACGAGAATTCTCGCTTCATATTACACAGTGTTTTACAAAGTATCATATTTTAAAAAGATAGTAGCTTGTAAGAACATGTAATAAATAACTTCAAAATGCAATGGTTATTAAATTTTAAAGTGTGCCTTTAACATTTATGTAAAACGTTTTTTTTGTACTTGTTCAATAGAAACTTATCTGGCCACTGGGTAAAGCTAGTGATAAAACTACTGGTCCAACTACTGGTCCGCAGTGTGTTTAGTAGCTTCTGGCAGTATGCAACTTGGGTGGGGCAGGGTCTCAGGGATTCATCAGAGTGGAGGGAACAGAGATCACCAGGCTAATGCAGATTCCGATTTAGTTGTCTTGGGGGAGAGCTCAACATGGTTTCCACCCACTAGCCATGCAGGGGGTGGGCTCAACACAGACTGGTAGCTGTCCTTTCAATCATTGCCCTGAAACACACAAGTCAGTTTATCCCTATATGCCTCTCTGAGAGCCAGTTTATTCCTGTATATCCCTCTAAGAGTCCAGAGTGAGTGCCTGCGAGTGAGCAAGTCTGTGTGAGGGCTGTTTTAAGAGGACATCTGGCTTTCCCAGCGGTGTTCTTTCTCACCTGAATGGATGGAATACCCACTCATTTTCACAGCTAGGTGTTTTGGGGGCTTCTCTTCCCAGCACTGATGCTCTGGGCTGGGTAGCATGGTGTGCAGCTGGAACCCCTCGATCCTCAGGGAGGACCTTTGTAGCTGACATATCCTTTGGATTCTTCATTGCTGCCCTTCAATCATCACACAGGAGTGTTGAGGCAACCAGTTTTGTGTCTCTGCCTCTCCTACTAGGCTTGACATGGCTTCTTGTTTATATCCTTAGATTTAGGACTTCTGTGCAACTAGGCGTCAGATGGTTCTCCAGGTTGCTTGTTTATAATTTAGTTGTAATTTTGATGTTATGGGAGGAGGAGAGCACAGAGTTCACCGAGTCCATTGCCTTGTCTAGACCTTTCATTCATTTTGAATTTTATTTATTTCAGTCTTCTTCCTTTTCTTACCTATTCTGGCTAAGAGTTTTTCAGTTTTCCAAAAGACCCACTTAGTTGTATCAATTTTTTCCCTTCTCAGTTTTTAAATTTATACTCTAACCTTTATTATTTTCTTTCTTTTATTAACTTTGGTTGTAGTTTTTTCTTGTCTTTTTAGTTCCTTAAGATGTAATGTTAAATGGTTGATTTGAGTTTTTTATTCATTTTTAGCATTAGTATTGCTATAAATTTCCTTCTTAGTACCAATTTTGCTGTATCTTATAAGTTTTTGGTATGTTGTGTTTTCATTTTTATTTGCCTAAGGATCTATTCCAGCCGTGGGCAAACTACGGCCCGCGGGCTGGATCCGGCCTGTTTGAAATGAATAAAACTAAAAAAAAAAAAAGACCGAACCCTTTTATGTAATGATGTTTACTTTGAATTTATATTAGTTCACACAAACACTCCATCCATGCTTTTGTTCCGGCCCTCCGGTCCAGTTTAAGAACCCATTGTGGCCCTTGAGTCAAAAAGTTTGCCCACCCCTGATCTATTCTAATTTACCTTGAGATTTAATTGGTTAACAGTGTGTTCAATTTCCTTATATCTGTGAATGTTCTAATTTTCTTTCTACTATTGATTTCTAGTTTTGTTCCATTTTGGTGGTAAAAGATACTTGATATGAGTTCAGTCTTTTAAAATTTGTTGTCTTGTGACCAAACATGTGGTCATTCCTTGAGAATATTTCACATACATTTGGAAAAATGTGTATTCTGCTTTTGTTGCATGTTGTGTTATATATGTTGCTCTAAAGCATTGTTTAAATACTTGGTTCCTTATTGATATTCTGTATGGTGGTTTTGGATTGAGCTTATTATACTACAGGTTTTTTTCGGTCTCTTGTAACAACTTTTTTTCTTAAAGTGTATTTTGTCTGTTATTAGTTTTGCCACTCCAGGTCTCTTTTGGTAGTTATATGTGTGGAATATCTTTTTCCATCCTTTTACTTTCAACCCTTTTTAAAATCTTTGGGTCTAAACAGTGTTTCTTAGATTGTGTTTTTATTTTATTTTTATTTTTAATATATTTTATTGATTTTTTACAAAGAGGAAGGGAGAGGGATAGAGAGTTAGAAGCATCGATGAGAGAGAAACATCGATCAGCTGCCTCCTGCACACTCCCTACTGGGGATGTGCCTG